TGTCTGTGCAGCATGCTTTTCTTCGGACCTGTTTTCTTATTGCTGATGCTAAAGGTGCATAGCTTATGCCATCAGTCATGCAGTCATTACTCCAGCTGTACAAATAATGTAGGAAAGGGATTTTTTTTTTTTTTTTTTTTTGTATCGGAATTATGCAAGCCCAGCAAATATGCTCCACAATTGTTCCTTAAGCCAGTGAGATTTAAAGCCGTTCAGTTTTCTTGTAAGGAGCTCCCGGCTGCTTTGACGAGGAGGTTTGTTAAGCCCAAACATGGAGAGCTAATAAAATAATAAAAAGGCTCCGGAGGTGTTTATGGTTTTCAATTATCTCTTGCTTTCTCTCCCAGGATTGGGCTAGGCAGGATTGTGCTGCCCTCAAGTAGCACTTGAGACGGGGCCGCGTTTTGTGGCGCCGGTCCACACCTTCTCCGAGGTGTCTGCCGGATCGCCTTAGCGCGGGTAGTGCACTGGGGTGCTAAGGGCCGTCCGGGACAAAGCCGCCCGGCTTCACAAAGGCACCGGAGCAAAAGGAGGCAAAATTGAATCTCCAGCACCCGGCTCCTGGGCAAACAGACACAACTAAGGGATCCCCTCCTGCTCCTCCCATCCAATTACGGCGATCCAGCGGAGAGAATATGGCAACATGGGTTCACACACACTCTAACGCTCTTAATCCTTTCCGTACGTGTAAACCTCACATTCCCTGGCGGCGCTTCATTACGGAGCCACCCAGGCAGCCCGGGCGGTGGAAGGGCCCCGCCAGCTGCAGAAACCTGCCTCCTCCAGGTTTTAATCAGCTAGCAAGCGGCGATGTAAATGCCGAGCTCAGGGGATTAGGGCCTGGCCCAGGGCAGCCCTCCCTGCAGTGATACAGTGCTAATACAGGTGTCAGTAAACTGCTCATTAGCCAGCAGCTCATTTGGGCCCATTCAGGCTGCAATGGCGCTCCCAGCCCTGCCGCTTGCAGCAGGGCTCGCGGCCCGGCGGGAGGCCCGAGACCTGTGGTGGGTCTGCCGCAAGGCCGCGCGTGCGGGTATGAGGGTAATAAATGCCCACAGCAGCACGGGAGCGACCTGGCAAGGGCCCTCCCCGTCCGAACCGCCTGGGAAACTGCAACGGGAGGGCCGAGGGGGGATTTAATTAAAAGCTGCTTAATTTCTGCATACTTCGGAGTAAAATGTAAAGCACGCTAATATGTTTAACCTCCATTTTCTCTGGGGCACAACTGGCCAACTGTTGTGTTCCATGAAAGGGTGCACAACCTGAAAGGGTATAGAGGGAATAAAACAGGCTGTTCCTTGGGATGGGAGATCTGGGCTTTGCCTGTTTCAGTGGTTCAACACAAATCTCTGCTTTTCAAGTCTTACTATTAGGTGTTTTTTCTTTTTGCAAAGTTTGTCCTTACACAAGGAGTTCAGCATTGTTGGTCACTTGTTCTCTATATTGACTGAGTCAAGGTTTTCAAATGCGGGTGTCGTGCCTAAAGCAGAGTGACAACAACTACGTATTCTTGGACCAGGGCATGTAACGTATATGACCTGTTAGCTCATACTCCTGCTGTTTGGTTGTCTGAAACTTGAGAAAGCTCATGTCAGAAACAGCAACTACTGTATACGCATAGATAAATATATCATGTCGAGTCTATAGCAGTTTTCCTAAAGAGGCTTAAAGCTCATCTGAGGATTTTGCCAAAAAGATGCGTTGCATTTTGGATTGTGTTTTTATTCCAGTGTTATCTCCAACTACTCTTTCATGTGTTTAAATATTACCTAAAACGCAAGGACCTAACCAGAATGTTGAGCTCTCCTATGAGAAGCCAAATATTTAGAGTTCCAAATAGCCTTTAGTTAAGGTTCTTGTTACTGTTTT